TTATAATTAATAATAATATTTTAGCATTTAATACATATACTAGGTAATTTAAAATAAAATAAATATCAACAAAACTTCACGTGATTTTACATAATTTCAACATAAAAATAAATCTATATCAATTTATCGACAAAATAAAAAAACTGCGATTTTAACTTTAAATGTTGTTTTTTTTTGCACATACCTTTATACATATACGCACGCACGTGCATACACCTATACACCTATACACATTGTCTATTTTCTTTTCCTTTTGTTTGAATTTTACTTAAATAACTTTGCAATAAAATAAATAAAATTCTTACATATAACAAAACATTCCTTATAATTAATAATACTTTGGCATTATTTACTTCAAAATAAATTTTAAAAAAAGAAAATTTTAAGAAAAGAAAAATTAATACTAAAATACATATAATAAAATAAATATAAAAATCTAAAATATATTGTATTAATTATTTGCACAAAATGTTAACTATATAAAAGCATCTAAATTAATTAACACAATTTGAAGCTTCAGTTTTAAGTAATTTTTTTAGAAGTTTATATTTTTCTTTTTTTATTGCCATTTTTTTCTGCATGTCTATTTTCCTTTTCTTTTAATCTAGCTATGAAATATTCTTTTGTTGATCAATTTCTTTTTCTTTTTAAAGTAAGATGTTTTTTCTTTAACTTTATTATTTCTTTCTTTTGCTCTAAAATATCTGCATGTTTTTCATCATTTATCTTGTCTTGTTCATCTTTTGTTTTTAAATATAAAATTCGAACGAATAATGGTCTTCTCGTCGTATGGATACGTTGTCCGTTATCGACGGCCATTAAATTGTCCAGGTTAGGAAGAATCCAGGTTTGCTAGAATAGACTTGATGGAGGAACGTCCGGTTCAGTGTTTTAGATGTCTCTTGTTCGGGCATTTAAGCCGTAGTTGTAAAAGTCTAGTGGACCGAACAGGTACTTGTTATAGGTACGGTGAAAAAGGACACTTGTCAAATTCCTGTGACCGTGATCCGAAGTGTATTCTCTGTTTCGAGGCCTTCAATCAGATCATAGGTTGAGAAACAATAGATGTCACGCGCTGAAATTCCCTGACAAGATGAAACCGGTGCGGAGACTGGAGGACTGTAACAAGATGATAGAAATGGAAACCAATGATTTATAAATCCTTGCAAATAAATTTAAACCATTGTAAGAGGGCACAGGATCTCATGATGCACTATGTGAAAGAGATGGGAATTAGCTTGGTCTTTGTCTCTGAGCCATACAGGACTGAAGGAGGAACAGATTGGTATGTGTCTGCCTGTGAAAAAAGCGCAATCCTTTTGTTCGATGTTACTGGTACCTCCTCTGTCTCAAGAATCAAATCTGGGAATGGCTTTACAGCCCTTAAAGTTAATGACCATCTAATGGTTAGCTGCTACTTCTCTCCTAATCGCCCTCTTGAGGAGTTTGGTGGCTTTCTGGACGACCTCTACGATCTGGTACGTTTCTACCCGATGGAAAGAGTTATCGTAGCTGGAGATTTTAATGCGAGATCAACGAGCTGGCGTGATACGATTACCAACGATCGTTTCGAGGTAC